ATGGAATCATAACATGTGCAGCTTTTTTAATTGCCTTAATGTTTTTGAAGATCATTGAGGTTGTTGAAGTTATCAGTAGCTCATTTTCTTTTGTAGCTGAGTAATATTCCACTGTAAGGATATGCCACTTTTTTGTGTGTCCATTCACCCACTGAGGGAAATTAGAGTTGATTTCAACACATAACATTTTAAAAATAGCAAAAAAATAAAATGGCTAAAATGAATTTTGTCATAGAGTTTTTCATTTCTTAACTACCTTCATATTTTCTAGTCATTTTGAGTTATTACTAGCAAAAGTTAGAAATCATCAATCTGATGGGAATCATGCAAGGTTTGGGGGAGCGATGGTCTCTTTCTAATTAATTATTTTCCCACTGAGTTCCTTCTGGTTTGATGCAATTGCTCCTGTTTATCAACTAGTATGTTTATGGAAAGTGTTGAAAGAGGATTATGTTCCAATGGGTAACAGCTGGCCTCATAGCAATTGGATGACAAAAGGATCATCCAAGTGCATAACTTGCAAAAATTGGGCCAGGAGCTGAGTTAGAAGATGGAACAACCTCTTTGGCTGACTTTTAAGGCTCAGCTTCTCAATGATGCTTCCCATTAGGCAATCATGGGCTTTCTGCAGGATAGAGAGTGAACAGACAGGGACAGCGGGGGAGCCCCGTAGAGAAAGAACATGGATATTATTGCTTTCTCCATTTTCCAGCTCCCTCTCTGCAAGAACTCAGAGCCAGTCATCTCACATGCTATGCAAGATTTCAGTAGGTTAGAAACTAATTTTAAATTCATTTAAAAAACGAGCTCATATCAGCATTGTCTCCATGAACCCTTGCCTTTAAACGACTGAGAACAATGCTGCCTCGCTGATTTTCTCATGCTGTTACATCATTTGCATAAAACAGGTGTGCCACAGACGGTTCACTGCCAACTCAACATAATGCGCCCGCACCGCTATCTAATTTCACTGTCAGTGCAGTAATCTTTCTCCTTTGTTAAAAGGCTCTCAAAATCACTGTAAGTAATGTCGATGCATACTGGGTTTAAGTCAAATAATACATTTGCCTTTGCCGCTAACTTTGAATCTTGAAAAAGCCAGCTCTGAAAAATTAGAGATGGGTCCCCGAGTGAGTCACTCAATACTACATTTCTCTGGTTTCCTGACAGCCAATATTTCAAAAAACAAGAACAATAATAGGAAAAGTTCTCCATCATGCGTGAAGCCTCGAGTTACTTGTTTTATTTTATTTTTTATTTTCCTTCCTGTTTACTTCATAATAGTCCTTTCCTTGAAGGAGTTTCCATCGAAAAATGAAATGAGTATCAACTTGAGTTACATGTCGACTGTCTGCTTCCCTTTACCTCCCCCTACTGCTGCTTCCTGACTCTCATGAGTAGTGTCCTGGTGATACAGGACTAGACACTTAGTGTTGGGGTCCAACCCCAGCAGGTCCAGGGATCCCCAAAGGTGTGGACGGAGTCGGCGAAGAAGGAATGACACGGAGACAGCGTTCAGTTGATCAGCAGCCTAG